CTGGCGGCCAGCCCTGAGCGCTCGCCAGCGCGTCACCATTTCAGCGAGCTGCCGAACCGAAAGGAGCTTTTCCGGAGCCCTGCTCCCAGCACCCGGTCTGGGCAGAAAGGCCCCGGCACACAGCTCGCTGTGCAGTCACAAAGAGCAAGACTTCAGCAAGTTTCTCTTCAGTCTGTATTCACCTATTCGACAGTTACAATAGACACTTAAGATAGTTCATTTTAAAACAGTAAACTTTTAAAATGCTTTAACACAGGTTTTAGCTTTTCAAAGGAAAAAAAAAGTTCAGTCTTAAAAAAAGGAGGGAAAGGTCATAGAAAAGCACAAACAATCCAAACAGGCTTATTTACAGAGACAAACCTAGAATATTCAAGGTGATTTTGCATACAGGCAACAACATTCATAAAACCAAATGTGCTACATGGCTCTGTGACAACAGCAGTTTTCAGAAGGATGAGCTGCTCAGGTAAGACACACTCTAACTCATTTTCTACAATCTCAGTGCAATGAGTTGAAATTTACACTACAGCTAAACATCTGAGCTACAGATTTATATATTCCAGACCCCTACGCAACAGAGCATCTGGTATATGCAGGCAAACAAAGCAAACAGACTCAGTGAGACAATGGAATCACCTTCTGCCCAGAGTCTGGGTAAGCGCCCTCAGCCGTGATCATTCCTGTCCACTCATCACCCTCCTCGCCCAGGGATCAGTAGTAACAAGCCTCCAAGAAGCAAAGCTTTTGTACTTGCTGCAGCCTCAAATTAAGGACCAGTGAAACTGACACACATGCAGAAACACTGCCACACGTTACAATTCTGCTCTTTCTGGAGCTGGGCTATTTATTCACAGGGGCCTCTTAGTTCGGTGAAGACACTTAACGAGCTCTGCACAGAGGTCAGGATCTTTCACATGAGATCAGCTGCAGAAGCCTGGTCAGCACAGCATGAGAGACACAAACCCACAGCAGTTGCTAGAGTGACATTTTCACTTCATCAGAGAGCCAATTAATAATTAAAAAAAAAGGCCAGTGAGCAATACAACTTCTACTGTCTTAATTACACGTTAATTCTCAAAACTGTTCCCATGGAAACCTTTTACAAGAGTGAACAGCAGTTAAGTCTTCATTCATTTTTCTTCTCCTTGTGCTTGAGAAGTTTGTTTATCTCCCTTTTAGCCATTCCAACATACTTCGTAATGATGCCATGCTGGTTTAGTCCAGGAAACAGCAACAAGAAACTTACTAGAGAGGAAAAAAAAGGAAAAGGAATTACTTCTGTCACCTCACAATTCCTTGCTTCCCTTAAGCCCCAGTAACTGCTTGAAAACAGAAAAATACAACCCCATGACCAAAAAAATAAAAAACAGCCATGCTCACGTAATCACAAATCGCTTCTACGAGCCTCATACCACTTCAGGCAGCTATGGAAAAGTTACTTCTGTTTTGCCTGCTGCACACTTACCGATAAGGTAGGTCAGAAAGAGATTGTGAACTTGCTGTCCAATCCAGGCAATCACAGCAAGCGAGAAGAGCATGGTCATGAAGTACTAAAAAAAGAACAGGGAAGCTATCACGGGTCAGTTGCAAATTCTTCCCCTTCCCTTCAGCATCCAGCAACACTTCAACACTTAAAACTAACTTGAAGACACACTTCCAAAAACTGACCCGAAGAAACCACTTTAGCTTTATCTCAATATCAAGAGTACACTCCTAACTGCGCAGGGTTGCAAGTTTGAATTCCTTCATCCTGCCACCCCAGCTTTGACAGGTATTAAGTCACAGCTGGAACTGCTGATTCTTGTTTTGAAATAGCAGTTTATTCAGACATCTGCCTTGATAAAACACTTAAAATTCTAAGGCAATAGCAAGGAACTCCCAGAACTCAATACCATCTTAGGCTTCTCCTCCTTCAGCGTGAAGAGACGTTTCCACCAGCCAACAATTCGGCGACGAGACTTTACCAGATTGCTGCAAATCTCATGAAATCTCTGCTGCTGCTCCGTAGTCCTTTTATTTAAAATAAATTTTAAAAAAATAATGAAAAAAGGCACAAATAAGAACTCAGTGTTTCACATGAAATTTTAAAAAAAATCTTCCACGTTATTTTTCCAGCAGTAAAAATCTATCCAGTACTTATCGTGGTATTTTCTTCACTTTGTTTTACGCTGTATCACCACTGGGCATTGTAACAGAATTGCTCCTGTAATTGTTCTGTGCACCAGCTCTCCTAAACTGGCCACATTCAAACCAGAAGATCACGGATTTTAACCCGCTGCCAGTGTGATGCACACCACGAACACACTCCTGATAGTAGAGTGCACTGCTTTGACTTTTATGTTGGTTTATTATTAGACAAGAACATTTATCTATTAGTCATTTAAAGCAGACACCCTAAAATTTACTTTCTACTCAAAATTTCATTTAAATAACGTTCTTCTCCAGCTTACAGTTTTTATGCCTTGCCCTTCTTCAGATCTGTTTCTATCACATTCATACTCTCAGCATTACTACATCATATTTACTACTGCTACATATAATCCAATGTCCTTCTTTTAGTTCTCAGTATCTATTAATTACTAAAAACTAGTTTAGCAAAACTAACTAGCATCCTTAGAAGAGAGCAAAAAGTGTGCCCACTCCTTTGAAAAAAATCTTATTCATGTGGAAGAGAAGGAACAATAAAGACATGTAGTAGCAGTTACCTTTCCGAAAAATAACTAAGGACATGTCCTCATTTCACATTACTTAAGAGATTGATGATTTCTTACTACAATAATCATTCAATACTTGCAAGTCAGCTATCCATTTTGATGAAGCTCATAATTTATTTACACTCAAGAAACTGCTTTAATTCAAGCTTTCCTCACCATTTATTAGAGCCAAAGATCCTAGGTGCAAGAGCAGGAACAAGATAATCAGCCAAACAGAGGAACATAACGAAACAGGAGACGCCTGAAAGAACTGATGGGTCCAAGTAGTAGATCATCCTGCAGATGGAAGGGAACAGAAAGGATTTCTGGATGCTCAGACTGCTAAATACCAGACTGGCTCAGGACTTCACACAGTTTACCTACCTACCCTTTTGCCCAATCTGATTTGGTCTTATTGCCAACAAAAAAGAGGTTTAAGTATTTCAACATGATTACAAAGAAATACAGATTTAAAAATACAATTTTCTTAAAGTACTAGGTAGGAAAAACGCTACAATAGAGCAAGCATAGTATGAAGTTCTGTAGCAGTAAAAATTCATTGTTACCTTTCTCAGCAGTTGACATCGAGTGACGTTAGCACTGACCGGGGGATGAGGATGGGTGACTGAACGGATGAAAGGACCCGGCAGAGCGCAAGCCCCGACCCTGTTAGTTCTTAGAACTGAGTCACAGAATTCAAATCCACTACGGGCTGCCATTTGCTCCGCCTCACCTGGGAGAGCTACCCAATCCCATTCTGGGCAAGGAGCCACACATCTCCCCCCTGGGACAGCACCGTGCCCTTTGAGATGAAGCGTGTCATCCCCTCAATATGGCAGGGCGGCCACCGGGCAAGAACCAGCTCCTCCCCTGGGTGTCTGAATGCTCAGCTCTGCCCTGTGCTACTTATTTGCACTTCACAGACTTTCCTGAACGCTGAAGTAATAGAAGTAAAGAAATGACACAGTCCATTGCAGGGCCAGTTTGTCTATACATCTGGCACAGTGCTACCATGCTCAGTGTTCAAGTCCTTTTCTGATGAAGGACCAATTCAGAATCTGAAGCAGTTCTCTCTAATTCCTTCAAGTATTATTCAACACAAGATCTTTCCTGCTCTTACCACAGAATTCATAACAGAATATGCTGAAGTTCATGAAATTACTTCTTTTTTTTTAAAGCTACTCTTCAGTTTCGTTTGATTTCCATCCTCCTCACCTCTCTTGAAGACCATAAAATCCGTATTACCCAGAAGACCATTCATCCTTGCCTCAGCTGGTTCAACATTTACTTTTGTAACTCCCTTCTTACTCCAAAAACCCACACAAACTCCACAGCTGGTGTGGACACTTATCTGTACAGGCAGGTTGGGGTCACCGTAACTATTACCCTGTTGTGTAAAAGCACGTGCAGGTGCCCGCAGCAAGCCAGCTCTGTACCGCCAGTCCAGTCCAGAGACAGGCCATGTGCTCCCAGCCTGCTGACTAACAGCTACCTGCAGTCTCTCCTTTTCTTCCTTTCTCGAAGGACAAAATAGAGAATCTAAAAACCAAGCTGCGTGAAACTGATTGAACTCATCCTACCCACCACATCAAAGATTCAGAACAGGAAAGCCCATCCTACGGAAGCAAGTTTTCCATCATGCTGTTGCTTTGGGGAAAAAAGCCAAAGGAGATAACCAGATTTGACTAAGAAGCAGGATACAAAGGGTGAGGGCAGAATATGCACAAGCCAAAGGACTTAAAGCTGAACATGGTAAAAAACTACAGCAACCACTGCTGGCAAACAGATCTTGCAGAATGCACGGCCCCCCCCTCTGAGCAGGATTTGACTTGTGCACTTCCTCTTCTCAGTACTCAAGATTTTTTTTTTTCAAGTCCATACACATTCAGAAACACAATCTGGAGTACGAGCTGTCCTATTACATTTTCAAAGAGATCCTACTTATTTACTCACTAGGTTTGCTGCCAGGCATCAAAGCACAATTGTGTTCTAGGCTCTCTCCACAAGCTACTTACAGAAAAGAAAAGGAAACAACACTCATCAGTGCCAGAGGAAACCAGGCTCTCTCCCAGCGAAGAACTTTATCCGTCATCAAAATCACTTCTCCCCATCCTTGCAACTGCTCTTCCAAGCTGGCAGTTTCTGCAGCCTACACAAAAAGAGAAGAAAATGCTTTTATTACTAACAAAACTGTCAAATTAATTATCACATTCGAAGTAGCAAAAAAAAAAGTCAAATTAAAGACCTCAGTTACAAAACTTTCTGAGTAATTAAATTACTAATAACATTGTAAGTATTGTACTATGTTATGACATTGCAGCAGTGATACTTTAAAACAGATTGGAATGTAGCAGTATTACTAATAGCAGCCTGCCTCTGTCAAGGGAACTATTCTACCACTTCTCCCGCTGGGCCAGGTTGAAAAAGCTGAAGTTGGCTTTTGTCAACACCATCTTCAACCCAGAGCCCATCCACCCAGCTGGCCTTTTACTAATCAAACAACACGAAGTTTCCACAAACACTAACATTCGCTCCAGAAGGGGTATCCCTCCCAAACACTGCGTGAGTTTTTGGCAGCACAGTTCCCACACGCTTTTTCTGTGGAAACTGGAACCTGCCCTCCCGGCCGCGCTGCCGGCAGCTCCCCGCGGGAATCCCGGGCTGCACCGCCCCAGCGCTGCCCTTTGTCA